CTTTTCAGTCTTGCAAGTCTGTCTGGAGTATCCTTGGGGTTCCTGGCAAGCAGAACCTGTTCTTAAGCCCCTGGAATCTGCAAGAGTGCTGTCTCTTTAAATATCCAAAATGGGCAAGCCACTTGTGAACATTCAAAATGGCAGCGCCCTCTGGACAGACAAAAGTCCACAGCTCAGCCCGCGTTTCTCTTCATCTTCTCCATTTCTTCCCTAGCTATCAGAGCAGTCCTCTGTGCAGTCCCTGGCTAGCAAGGCTGATTTTTAGGTTAATTCTTAGGACCTACTGCCACTCTGCACTCTCAAAGCTGTCTGTGCCGTGACGTCAGGATCGCTGCCGGACCACAGCTCCGTCTGTCTCTTTTTTTTTTGGTATTTTCATGCAAATTATTCTGCTGTTTGGGGTTTAGTCCACTTCTGTATCCTTCTCTTCAAGGCTCAGGGGTCCAGGATTATCTTCTGTGTCTTTGTTAATTGTTTTCCCTTTTCTTTGTTGAAGAGGGTCTGTGCAGTCTTTCTGCCTAGTCCACCATCTTACCGGAACTCTAAATCAACCTTATTTTGTTTAATGTATTCCTTTTATCTTAAGACACAGCATACTTGTGAGGTAATTTATTACAAACTGTGTTTTTGCTTTTCATAACTTACTTTTTCTCCCAACTATAGGAGGGATTGCTGTGAGTCGGAACTGACTCAACAGCGGTGAGTTTGGTTTTGAGTTTATAGGTTCACTGACAGGGAAGACAACAAAATGCTAAATTCTTAATTCATATTGCTCTAGGTGGACGCATTATAGAATCCAAAACACTTTCAAAAGCCTTACACATTTATGTTGCCTTAATGCTGATACTTATTGAGTGATTGAATCACAGACTCATATTTCACCAGCTGTCATTCAGCTTCCATTTAAATATTTTATGTGTAAGATAAAACTGCAGATAAACCATCCTAATTTATACCTGTGCATTTAGGGTTGTAGATTAATTTCTGCTGTAGTGTAAACATCCTTGCTTAGCAGTTGCTCTTTATACTGCCTCATAGGATGACACCTGTAGATAGCCAATGGTAGGTTCAGAGACAACTTACAACAGAATCTTATAAGCATTGGGAAATTCGTTACTCCTTTAAAACACATATTTTAAAATGTTAAAAATAATTTATTGGAAATTTTTCTGAGTGTAGGTATTTGTTTTATGGATTAATTTAGCTATTTAAAATGATTTATGTGTTAACAGTATGTTGTTTTAAACTGACCTTACCTTCAGATCATTTCTATTGGAAATATAAACCATACCTGACAAGAATGATAAGAATATCTCTAGTTTTTAAATTCTTTTACCAAGAATTCTGACTAAATTATTTCTTTTAGTCATCTCCTTTTCTGTCATCACTTACATTCGCTTTACCCTAGAAAATCAGTACTAAGTTTTCTAAATTG